ACCAGGCCCTGCCACAGGGTCTTTCTCTGGGGCTAGTACATGAGTGTCGGGAGTGCTAAACTCGGGGTCACGTCAGCTTGGAGGACCTAGCTGCAGACCACACTGAAGGAATAGTTAGCCTCCACCCAGAGGGAGGCAGAGCCAAGAGACAGGGAAAGAGAGAGGGAGAGGGAAGGAGACTGAGAGGAGGAGGAGAAGGAGAAGAAAGAAAAGAAGGGAGGGGAAGAGAAGAGAGGAGAGAGAATATATTCCACTGTAGGAACTTCTTTGGTCAGCAGCAACCATGGGTCTCTCAATTCTGGGCACATCAGCTACATAATTTGCAGTTATATACATGCAAAATCAAATTTGGAGCCCCTTGTTAAAAAGTTCTTAAGAATTTCAGGACAGCAGCAGTCTTATCCGGCTGGAACGCGTGCAGGTAACTACACCGCTGCCCCATCTCCTTTATGGTTAGTACACATCGAGGTGCTCAGGAACTCTTTGGTGAACAAATGAATGGATTCTTAGAAAGTGTAGTGACTACTCACTGCGTGCCAGGCACTTGTTGAGAGAGGAGAGATACAAACTGAAATCAGACATGGACCCTGGCCTCCAAGAATTATAATCTGCCCTAAGTAAGCTCTACGTTGGTGTCCATATGCACCTATCTGTTAAGCGCATTTATGAAGTGCCTACTGTGTACACAGAAGGCAGAGACACAGAAGGGAGAGAGCTGCTTCCCGCACTTAAGGGTTTCACAAACTATTCGAGGCAGCGGAACAGTGGGGGTGGGGAAGGAGTGACAGCAAAGCCATATACATTTACATCACTGCGTGGTAAGGACAGTGACCAAAGATTTGGGAGCTGTTGTGAGAGCACATGAGGATCTATATTGCTGAGAGGCAGCGGCAGGGCAGCACGTGGAAGGAGCCCTGGTTTCCAGTTGTGTGACAAAACACCTCACCTTCTGGTGGAGATCGGATGAGATCACATGAGTGAAGGCACTTTGTAAACTGTAAAGGACCCTTCAAACATAATAAAGGTGTTTCTTGATGACAAAGCCATTTCTGTCCATAGCAATATTATTGGTCTGGCTTATTTGGACAGTTTGCAGCAGCTACTTTGCCTAGTGGCTCGATTTCTTTTCTGTGTTACTAAGGAGAGGCTAACCTCAACTCTATCCGCTTTTGCCCTGGGTTTTAGAGACTGGACACTTAGTGAGAGCCTAGCAGAGGCCCGTGGCCCTGCGCAGGTGCCAGAAATGGCTTCTAAGCAGGCAGCTGCACTGCTCAGCTCTCCCAGAGAGGAACAGCTTGTTCCTGGAATGTAATTTTCCCCAAATCAAATCCTAGCTGGAAGGGGGAGACTGGGCTGGAAAACTTCCAAGTTTAACTGCAGGGCTTTTGAGAGTGTTGTGTTTGTTCCAGCAAGGAAATTGTACCTGGAATGCAATACAATAAAACGCTCTAGAAAACACTTCCCGACTTCTGTTGGCTTGTGAACACCTTTCTCAGCAATATAAAAAGTCTTGAACATCCTTAGAAACTTGTAAAAATCACTATTGTTTTCCTTGAAGATGATAAGTGATTTTTTTTTGTAAATGTTTTTATTTTTAGGTTAGCACCTTACTAAATATTGCAATGCTAATTTAATGCAATATGTAATAATATTCTTAAAAGGAAACAGATGTCAATTTCCCCCTTTAACAAATGAGTCAGGGTGTTAATTTAAAATAATTGTCTAAAAAAGATTTGTTGGTGAATAAATTTTGAAGTAACATATTGTGTTTTGTTGGGGGACAATATGAATATTAAGACATTACCTGAAATTTACATGGTGAATGATGGCATCAAAAACAGACATAAACTTTTTTCATTACCTACTATTGGAACTCTTGAGATTTCCCCTAAGTTATTTTGGTAAACGTTAGTGTTTTGTTTCTAAAGAGCAAGAAAAGGGGAGACGGTTTTAGGTTGCTATTTGCAAGTATGTCTCAGAAAACAAAACATATGGATGTGACAAGTATTTTCATCAAAGGAAAAGTTAGATTAGGTATAGTGTCGCTATCATTTTTTTAACATGACTTTTCAAAGTATGAGGCAATCTTGGATGTAACCAAATGGAAGAATTTTAACCAAATGACTAGAACAAGAATCTGAGTAAAGAGCATCTTTAGGCTAATTTGCAGAACTATTATCATTTGTGTGCAGTCATTAACTTATTGCATGTCAACATGAATGTTCCATAAGCACTCTGTCTTTAAACAATGCTTCATTGTGGAATTAAATGCCACTATATGACCAAGTATAAAACAAATTGTAACTTTCCTTTCAGAGTGTTGATTAGACCCTCATTCAAAGAAATAAACTGCAAGAACCATTTGGTGGGAAGTGTGAAATTTGAATATGGACTGGGTTTGTTAGGAGTGATAATGGTGGTATAGTTATGTAGGAAAAAATTCTTATTCCTGTGCAGTGCATACTCAAGTATTTAGGGGTGTAATGTCATGATGTCTGGGATTTATCTTAAAATGCTTCACAAAAAATAGATAAAGCAAATACGGTGAAATATTTGTAACTACTAAACGTTGATTATGGGTATATGAAGCTCCTTAAATTTTTCCCTCTCCTTTTTTATGTCTTTGAAAATGTTCATAATTAACAAGTTTTAAAAAAAAAAACAATAAAGTTAAAAAAATGTAGTCACCGAGTGCTCCAACCCCACCCAATCCCTGTGGCAGCTGGTGGTGTTGAGCTGAGTGTAGACAGGCTACGTGTCCCAATGGAGCGTGTCGTACCCACACCCTCCGGATGCCACCAGCCACTCGTCAGATACTCCCAAGGAGGCTCCCAGACTCTTGTTCTTTTATTGGTGGTTACTGTGTTTTTAAAAATAGAAATGGAAGCAGACATCGTTAGTTTCTTTTAACAACCCGAATCCAGAGGAACAGCGTCTGGACCCTCACGGATTGGAGTGCCACCAGCTGGGGGCGGCTGCACCAGGACAACCAGTGTCTGCGGAGGCCAGTGGGTTCTCTCCGTCATGGCTGAGGTTGGCAGGGAAGGTTTTCGGTGGCAGCCAGTTACTTAAACTCAAAAAAGAACACCACATTGAAAGCCTTGGGTCTTCCTATCTTTAGGGAGAAGAGGTACGTGTAGGGTGGTATGGGAGGAGGGAAACAGTAGACATCCTCTTACCCGGCCTCCTCTGAACATCCCCTCGAAAATACACACTGGCCCTTACCCAGGGCGCCCAGAAAGCTCATGGCTTGTGGGCCTTTTTCTAGTTCTCCCCCAATGCTTTTGCCTCTACCAACAGAGTCGTCTGCTTACCAAGGGTCGCTTCTGCTCGTCCCAAAACTTGTTTATGCCGTTAGTCTTAGAGTTACGATTAAAGAATGCAAACCAGTAAAACTTAAGTGCAGAACTCCCGCCTGACAACATATACACACACGTCATAAAAAAGGGAACACAATTTGGACCTACATCAAAAATTTGGCAACTGAATGAACTTTTTTATGTCCTCAAATAAAATAGGTAAGATGTTTAAGGTGTATATTTTAATTTAAGTGATTCTCAACTTGCACCAATGAGGTTACTAAGCCAATTCACTTGATAGTGTTTGTGAGAGGTTTTCCCCAATAGTGATTCTCTGTCCAGATTCGAGTGAAAATAATCCAAAACCAGATCATTAAAGAATAAATTGTTTTCCCAATGAGCTTGGTCAGGGAACACATAGATTTTCCCCCTGTTGATGTATCTCCTCCTGGCCTTTTATTTAGACTACTAGTAAGATCCACTTGCATTTTCTGAGCATGCCCTGGTAGTTGGGGTAGACACCTGCCCACCCACCCATCCCCTTACACCCCACTTCAACCTCAGAGTGTGTGGGGAGGCCGCCTGGCCTTCCAAATTTGCCATACGTGATCCCTGCCATGAGTAATCCACATGCCCATCATCAAGATCTAACCATGTCAGAAAACAGAAGGACAGTGAAGCTTGTACAAAGCTCTTCTAGAACATTCCACTCAGGTGCCTTGAGGTCATTAGGGGTTTGGGCATCGCTTCCTGGGGAAAGCTGGAGAGCAGGTGTGACTTCCTGTATGGAGAGCTGGGCTCTTCAGAGCAGCAAGTCTGAGGCCTTGAAGCTTGGCCTCTGGGAGGAGCCACCGGGCATCAGCTGCGTCTTACACAATGACACTGTGGGGTGGGGTCACAGGCAACCCACCTCCTCCCCCAGCTACTTTTCTTGGAAAGCAGCTTAGACCCCCACCCTAGTGCCAAGGTAAGGGATGAATCAGACCACAAGTAGGTAGAGATGTAGCCTTTGGTCCTGTCCCATCATAGCCCAGGATTCAAGGACTCAGGGCCAGAGACTGTTGGTGCAGGGACAATCTCACTGCCCATGGGGACCTGGCTACAGTTTAAGGCAGAAGAAGTGTGTCCCTCTCTGAGCCTCAGTTTCCCCACTGACTAGCTGAAGAGAGTGGATCTAATGGTCTCCCTGGTCCCTTCCAGCTCTGCCCGCCCATGCGGCCGTGACCCACCTGCAGGGGTGAGATCAGCCAGTCGCCAGCAGAGACTGGACACCACCCAACAGGTCCCTTATCACCCACAGAGTAGGGGTGAGTGGGACATCCCTGAAGTTGGGGTGGGAACTCAGGTCTTGCAAAAAGGCAGGGCAACTCTCTCCCTCTTCTGGGCAAAAGCAGGGGACAGGGCTGCAGTCTGTCCGCCAAGACCTTGAACCTGTCGGTCGTGGAAGCGGCTGCTCCAACAGACTTGTGCAGGGAGAGAGGACCCCATGCCACCCCAAGTCTCCGTCCGGCTTTGTGGCCAGAGGAAGAGGGTGGGCCGAGGAGAGGTGGCTCCATCGTACAGCAATGTCCTGGGATGGGGTCACCTCTTTGTTCTGCTCATCAGGGGTGGGTGGGGAGGTTCCGGACCCAGCGACCAGGTCACCAGCCCATCATGCCCTCCTGCTGGTGGCTCAGCTCCTGAGCAGGGGAGTGGCGGGGGTCAGTCGGTTTTGGGCGCCCGGAACTCGGGCATGCTCCAGGTCCGGGGCGGCGGGTGCGCGTCCCGCTCCACGTCCTCGGAGATGGTCCGGATGTCGCTCGCGAACGGGGAGATGCGCGCGCGCGTCTTGAAGGTGGCCAGGCTGCCGCGGGGCCGCAGACTCCACTGCCGCGTCAGCTTGTGGGCCTCCTCCTCCTGCTTCATCCTCTCCAGCACTTCCTGCAGCACCGAGCGGAAGAGCCGGGACACCTCCTGCACCTGGGGCTCGTGCTCTGCCATCAGCTGCCGGAACCTGGGCGGGACAGGAGGGCGCAGTGGGGCCACCGGGCGCAAGCCAGCCTCTAAGCCCCAGCGGCCCCAGCGCATCCTCCGGGTCGGTCCCCATTTCGTCCACTCCGCCCTGCTCTTGGAGAGAATCAGGTCCCACCCCGCATTGCTGCTACTGCTTCCTGCAATCCTGAGTTCAAATCCCGGCTCTGCCCCGCCTGGCCTCTGCGAGCTTCAGCTTCCCCATCTGTAAACTGAGGTCACAGCTACCCTTTTTCTGAGATTTAATGAGCTAATGCGTGAAAAGATCCTGACACTTACCCGAGGTTGTCACGCCAGAGCACGCAGGGGCGCCCTCCACTGTGGCCGTCCTACTGAGGCCCACCCTCCCCCACCCCTTCTCCACCTGCTGCCAGCACGGTCCCTCTGCAATGTGTATCTGGTGATGCCACTGCCCTGGGAGATTCCCCCCACAGTGCCTGTCACTTTCTGGGTGGGGTGAGCTGTTTGCCACGCGCAGGGGGGTCCCCTGCTGCGTCCCAGAAGAGTCACGTGTGCCCTCCACGGCCCAGGTTCTCCCGGGTCCCTGTGTGCTTGCCCAGGCTTTTCCTCTGCCCAGAATGACTTTGCCCGGAGCTGGAGAATTAACGTCAGCAAGTCTATTTAACCCCGGTTCCCGCCACCAGACCGACAGTCGGGACTCCGCAAACTTCTCATCGGTGACTCGAGACCAGAAATGAGACAAGAAGATCGTGCCCGTGTGAGTGTTCCCAGCCATCCCCTCACCTGTGGGTTTGGTTTCCCAGCTCAGGCCTCATCAGCAGCCCCTGGGACTCCACTCCAGCCCTGTCCCCAGGTGCTTGTGGGATGGATGCACTTTGGGGGCTTCCATGGGGCAGAATAAAAAACTAGGAGAGGGGGAGGTTCTCAGCCTGGAGGAAGGAGAGGGGGTGGTAAAAAAGACTACAGAACTGAAGGAGTGTGGAGGAGGCTGAAGGAGAGGAGCTTTTAAGGAGAATTCCGAAGAAAAAGGTGTACTGCAGATGCTGGTGTTGATTAAAGTGATGGGTGAGGGAAGATCTGGGGAGACCAAGGGGAATTTTTAAATGTTTGATTGTGGGTTTATACTCCTTTACAAGGAGAAGTGCAGATGAAGAACTTGAGGAATGCAGTTCAAGAACTGAAATTATTTTGATATTTCTCTTGGTTGTTTGGAACTGATGCTTCTTTGACTGTAATACCAATCGTACCGAGACAGGCTCGTATGTGGCCAGAGCTTGCGTTTATACAACTACTTTTATATTCAGGGACACTGCTGAACCCAAGCTCTAAATGTTCAGTGCCCTCAAGCTCTGAGCCCTTCCTGCGTGTGGGCACACACACACCCCGTAGGCAGACCGGTGTGCAAGCTAATATAAAATAGGGTAACCTTAACACTTGTACCCCCATAATACGCTAAAATAAAAAAATAAATAAAAATAAAATACTATGAAAAAAATAAAATAGAGTAATTAAGAAACCAATTTTGGAGATGTCGTCTGGGAAGACTTCTCCAAGAAGGCGATATTGAAGATAAACTGGCAAAGGAGAAGGAGGCAGCCGTGCCCGAATCCAGGATGGTGACAAGCCAGCAGGGAGAGCAGGAAGCCCAAGGCCTTGGGTTCTCTCATGTCAACACTCACTTTCCTCCAGGAGCTGCCCCCTGCCCCCCTCTGGACTCCAGCCCTGGCCT